TCTCATCCCAGATCTTAGAGGGAAGGCTCTCAGTTTTTCCCCATAAAGGATGATGCTTGATGTGGGCTTGTGGTAGATGTCTTTAACTATATTGAGGATATTCCCCTCTATATTCATTTTGGCAAGGGTTTTCATCAGAATGGGTACTGGATCTTCCCAGATGCTTTTTCTGCATCTATTGATCTGATCATATGGTTTTTTATCTTTTGGTGATATGATGGATTTTGTTGATTGATTTCAAAACGTTAAATGATCCTTGCATCCCTGGGATGAATCCCACTTGGTTATGATGTATGATGTTTTTGATGAGTTGTTGAATTCTATTTGCTACTATTTTGTTGAGAATCTTCGCATCTGTGTTCATCAGGGATATTGACTTGTAGTTTTCTTTTCTTGTGGTGCCTTTGTTTCCTTTTTGTATTAGAGAGCTATGAGCTTCACAGAAACTGTTTGGGAGAGTTTCTGTTTCTTCAATGTCCTGAAAAAGCTTGAGAAGAACTGATACTAAGTTCTCTTTAAATGTTTGGAAAAATTTGCTAGTGAATTCATCTAGACCTGGGCTTTTCTTTTTGGGAAGATTTTTGATTACAGTTTCAATTTCCTTGATCTTAATAAGACTATTCAGGTACTTTAGATCTTTTTGATTCAGTCTTGGGAGATTACCGGAATCCAGGAATTTATTCATTTCTCTAGGTTCTCTTGTTTTGTGGCATACAGATTTTCAAAGTAGTCCCTGATGATCTTTTGAATTTCTTTGGTTTCTGTTATGATATTCCCCTTCTCATTTCTGATATGGTTTATTAGGGTTTTCTCTCTCTCTTTCTTTGTGAGTCTTACTAGTGGTTTATCTATTTTGTTTATTTTCTCGAAGAAACAGTTCTTGGTTTTATTGATTTTTCGAATTGTTTTTTGGGTTTCCATGTCATTAATTTCTGCTCTAAGTTGTATGATCTCTTTCCTTCTGCCTAGTTTGGGCTCCTTTTGTTGGTCTTTTTCTAAGATCTTGAGTTGTAAAGTCAAGTTGTTTATGTGGGCCTTTCCTTCCTGAGAAATGCTTGCAGAGCTATAAATTTTCCACTTAACATGGCTTTAGCTGCATCCCATAGGTTCTCTTGTCTTCATTCTCATTTGTTTCCAGGTGTCTTTTGATTTCATCCTTGACTTCCTTCCTGACCCACTCTTTGTTCAACATTGAGTGCTTTAATTTCCAGGTGTTTGATTTGGTTCTCCATGTCTGTGTGTGATTCAATTCTATTCTTAGTGCATTGTGGTCTGAAAAGATTGATGATACTATTTATATCTTCCTGATTCTATTAAGGTATGTTTTGTGGCCTAGCACATGGTCTATTTTGGAAAATGTTCCGTGTCTACAGGAGAAGAATGTGTATTCTTTCTTTTTGGGGTATAAAACCCTTTATAGGTCTATTAGCTCTCTCTCTTCTATTTCTTCCTTGAAAGCCAATGGTTCCTTGCTGAGTTTTGTTCTTGTTGATCTATCCAGAGGTGATAAAGCGATGTTGAATTCTCTGGCTACTATTGTGTTGCTAGTAATGTCCTCCTTAAAAATCTGTTAGCAGTGGTTTTAAATATTTAGCTGTACCCTCATTAGGTGCATATACATTTAAGAATATGATTTCTTCCTGTTGCACGTATCCCTTGATGAATAGAAAATGGCCTTCAGTGTCTCTCTAATCTTTTTCAACCTGAAATGGATGTTGTCGGATACTAGTATGGCCACCCCAGCTTTTTTGAGGGAGCTGTTTGCTTGCAGGATTGTTTTCCATCCTTTAACTTTGAGTCTGTGTTTGCTCTGACTGTTCAGATGAGTTACTTGTAGGCAGCAGAATGTTGGATTCTGTCTCTGAATTCATTTTTCCACTCTGTGTCTCTTAATTGGTGAATTTAGACCATTGACGTTGAGAGAGATTCTTGTTATGGGGTTTTGTGTCATCTTTCTGTAAGGGTTTGTTGTGCTTGTAGAGTTTGTTTTGTCTTATAATAGCCCCTTTAGCCCTTCTTTTAGATTTGGTTTTGAGTCTATGAAGTTCCTGAACTGCTATTTATCCAAAAAATAGTGTACCATTCCTTGGAGTTTGAATGAGAGTTTAGCCCAATAGAGTATTCTTGGTGAAGCGTTTATTTCAGTGAGTTTTTTCATTATATCTCACCGTTACTTTTGGGCTTGGAGGGTTTCCTCTGATAGATCTGCTGTGAATCTAAGGGTTGCTCCTTTGTATGTGATTTCCTTCTTTGACCTTGTTGCTTGCAGTATTGTGTCTCTATCTGCAGCATCCATTATTCTAACTATGATATGTCTTGGAGTGTTTTTGTTAGGATCTTTTTAGCTGATACCCTTTGGACTCCTTGAATCTGAATGGCTGTATTGTCCAACTCTGGAACTTTTTCATCAATGATTTGTTTAACCATGGCTTTTTTTATTGGGATTGTTTCCCTGAGCTTCTGGTACTCCAATGATTCTAATGTTGTTCCTCTTGGAATCATCTCCTAGGACTCTGATTAACTATAGAGCTATTTTGAGATCTCTCACCATTGTTTGTTGTTGCCTGTAGGCTTCGTGCAGCTGATCTTCCAGCTCACTGATTCTGTCTTCAGGGAACAGACTGAGTTTTTTATTTCATCTACTGAATCTTTTATTCGTGACATTTCTGTGCATAGCTTTCCAATTTCTGCTCTCATTTCTCCTGTATTTTCTCGATTGTTTCTCTCATGTCCTTTAATTTACTGGATATCTGTCTCACTGTTTCATTGAGTTCATTGAACATCTTCATTATGTCATATATGAATTCTTTCTCAGAGAGGTCCCTTAGGTGAGTAGCCCCTGCTGAGGCTTCTGGACTCTTTTCATTGTCCTCACCTTGTGGTGGGGATTTGTGTTGTTTCTTCGTGTTGGTGTGGAGGTATGGAGATGAGATGTTACACAAGATTGCTGGGTATGAGTAAATTACCTGCGGCTGTGTGACCGCCCACCCACCCAAATTAGACCACGCCCACTTCTACAGAGGCCACACCCACTTCTGAAGAAGCCACGCCCCTATGGGTACCTGGTGTGTGTGGGAGGGTACTACCTGGAGGAAGAAGAAAACTGGGCACAGCATTGGGGACGAACAGAAAGAGGCTCTGGCATGGTGAGTATCCCAGGGTCCTAGAGGATGCCTGGGGCGTGTACATGGGGAAAGCCGAGGTCCTGGGTTTGAATCATGACTGAACTGGGGGAAGAAGAAGACCGGGCACAACGTTGTGGGCAAACAGGAAGAGGCTCAGGGATGGTGAGTGTTCCAGGATCCTAGAGGATGCCTGGGGCCTGAACGAGGGCATAGCCAAGTCCCAGGTTTGAATAATGACTTTCCTGGGGGCAGATTGGCTTCTTTTAAAAAAATTTTTATTTTTTCCCCACTTTATTTAAACACTGTGGTTTACAAAGTTGCTCGTGATGACTTGTTACAGGCATTCAGTATTCCAACACCTATCCCACCACCACTGTCGCCTTTCCTCCACCATGGTCTCTGTTTTTCCAGCTTCCCCTCAAGCCTGCCCCTGTAGCAAGCTCACAATAATTTGCTTTATATTGCTTATCAGCAATGTAGCACTATCTGTAGCACTGTCCTCCCGTTGTTCATCTATTTGCTTGAGTGGGCACCAGTAACGTCTCCATTGTGAGACTTGTTACTGTTTTTGGCATATTGAATATGCCATTGGGAGCTTGTCAGGCTCTGCCATGTGGGCGGGATACTCTTGATAGCCTGCTGGGCTCTCTGAGATGGAAATCGAACCCGGGTTGGCCATGTGCAAGGCAAACGCCCTATCCACTGTGCTATCGCTCCAGCCCATTACCACTAAATGATCAGAAAGCAATTCAGTAAAAAAAATTTTTTGTGAAAATTGTTGTATCTCATCATGGGAATATTAAGTACTTGTCTGAGGGTTTACTAAACTGTTGTCGAAAGTTAAGCCTTCTGTGTTCATGTTTTTGTTAGTCAAGTTTAGTTGGCTTCTATGTTACATTCCCATCTGAAGATTGACTTCTTTTACCTAGTCACATGCATTTAAGCTTTCTTTAGGTTCTTTTGTAGTCTGAGCTCATTTCTTTTAGTCATTGAAAATAATCTGAATGTACCGGTTTGTCCATTCAACCTATTAATGGACATCATGGTTGCTTCCAAGTTTTGTCCAATTGTGAATAAAGATGCTATAAATATTTGTGTGCAGCTTTTGCATTGGCTTGCATTTTCAACTCTTTTGCACAATACCTAGTTCAATGGCTACAGTAATTGGTAGGTCTATGACAAACTGTCTTCCAAACAGTCATACCATTTTGTGTTTCTTCCAGCAATGAATGAGAATTCCTATTGCCACATTTCTTTTCCAGCATTTTGGTGGTGTTTTGGATATGGTCATCCTAATAGGCAGTGTATCATTGTTGTTTTAATTTTCATTTTCCTAATGATGTATGTTGACCATCTCATTGCTTATTTTTCCATTTGCATATGTTCTTTTGTCAAGTAACTTTATTTTTACCTGCTTTGTAAACAAGTTGTTTCTTTCCTGATTGTTGATTTTGGAGAATTCTTTGACCTGTTAGTGTACAGGTCCTTTTCTAAGTATTTGATTTTTACATAGCCAGAACAATGTATCTCATGACCTCTGTCTTTATCATTCCCCAAATGCCTTCTCTCACCAGAGATTATAAATTTTCACTTGTATTTTCTTTCAATAATTTAAAAAAAATTATATCTGAGGAACTGAAGTGATAGTACAGCAAGTAGGGCATTTGCCTTGCATGCGGCCGACCTGGGTTTGATTCCCAGCATCCCATATTGCCCCCTGAGCACCGCCAGGAGTAATTCCTGAGTGCAAAAGCCCAGAGTAACCCCTGTGCATCGCTGGGTGTGACCCAAAAACAAAAGCAAATATTTATATCTGAAAATATCTATTTCAAGGGATGAAATAATGTGTTTTCCCCCTTATTTTCCAATCCACAGATCTGATTGCTTTGCCCATTTTTGACAGTCGTGCAATGGAAAATTGGGGTCTTTTGGTATTTGATGAGACAGTATTGCTGCTGACGCCAAGTGATCAACTAACAGAAAAAAAAACTATCATTTCCTACATTACCTCCCACGAAATTGTACATCAGGCATGTGGTAAAATATTCTTTCTTATTTCATGTATTCTTTAGATTCACTACCAAAAATATGCATACAAAACCCTTCTTGGTCACAGTTTTTTTTCCCCATGAGGGATGGTTGGGTATCCCAAGTAATGCTCAGGAGAACCAGGCTCCCTCACAGTGAAACTAGCCAACCAGGCCAGGCGAGTGGTTCAGCATTAAACCTAAGAACGTGGGACTCACTGGAAGCCTGCCTCATGTGCTGGGGGAGAAGACAGCTGGGATAGAGAAGAGATTGTAAGTCAGTGATGGTTGGAGGGATCTCTCAGGAGGGGAGATGAGTGATGAAAGTAGACAAAGGACCAAACATGACGGCCTCTCGGTATCTGTATTGAAAACCATAATGCCCCAAAGTAGAGAGAGAGTAAGAAGGAAAGTGCCTGCCACAGAGGCACAGGATGGGGTGGGGGTGGCTGGAGGGATACTGGGAACATTGGTGGTGGAAAATGTACACTGTGGAGTCATGGGTGTTTGATCATTGTATGACTAAAACTCAATCATGAAATCTATGTTAAAAGTAGCTCATGGTAATTCAGGAAAGGAAGGAAGGAACGAATGAATGAATGAACAAATGAACAAACATGGGGCTGCCACGAACCTGTGGTCATGGGGATCATGTGGGCCATCTTGGCCATGCTCAAGTCCTCCCAGGTTGTACCCTGCATACAAGACCATATGATGCCCGGGATCAAACCAGGGTCTGCTTCATGCAAGGCCTGTGTCTTAACCACTGTGCATGCACGCACTCTCTTCAGCCACATTAATCCCAATTTAAAAAATTTATTCAAAAAATAGGACAGTGAGAAAAAAAATAAATAAACAAGAAGCTTTGCCATTACAGCCTGAGTAAATTTATTTATTTATTTGTCTTTTTTGGGTAACCCAGCGATGCTCAGGGGTTACTCCCAGCTCTGCACTCAGGCATTACTCCTGGAGGTGTTCGGAGGACCATAAATGGATGCTGGAGATTGAACCAGGGTCAGCCACATGCAAGGCAAATCCCATCGCACTATCACTCTGGCCTCAGAGCCTGAGTAAATTTAAATTATTAGTATTGGGACTGGAGAGAGAATGCACCTGGTTGACCGTATTCTTTGCATGCTGGAGGTCCACGTTCAGTTGCTGGTACCTCAAGGTCCTCCCCACCCCCAGCCATGATCCAAGAGTAGTATCCAAGTGCTTCCGGGAGTGACCCCAAACCAAAATAAGTTAATTAAATGAAAGTAAAAATAATTAAAACTATATAAGTTAATGGTGATGGATCAGAGTGATGGGATTTTATAGTTCATTTGAGGGTTAGGTGTTTACATCCAAGATTAACAAAGCTCTTATTCAGGTAAAGTTAACCACACACAGCTATGGTTGCTTGCTTTTCATTCCTTCTTAAAATGTGGGTTATTTTTAAAGGTGCCTGAGAAAGAGAGCTGTATTTCTTCATTAGATTGCTATAAACTTGTTTACCCTCGGAAAGAGGTTAAAGGAATGAGTTACTGTGAGTCAGTGAAGTGAGCCGTGACTTTCCCCAAAGGTGGAATAAAAGGGAATTTTCATTAGATTTCTGTACTTTTATGTTGTGATTTCAAAAGTTTTGAACGATTTGAATTGATAGAAACTCTTACATTTGCGTCTTAAGCTCTATTAAATGTCTGCCAATAGAAAAATCTAAACTATGAAATCCCCTTGTATGTGGAAACAAAAGAAGAATTGGGGGAGAAGAGATAGTACAGCAGGTAGGGTGCTTCCCTTGCACACCACCAACCTGAGATCCATCCCTAGCACTGCAGATAATTCCCTGAGCACCACCAGGGGTGATCCCTGGGCAGAGAGAAAACCCTGAGCACGACTGGGTATGTATGACCTTCCACTAACCCCAGCCCTGCAACAGTGATTTTTCAGGCTAGAAGAGCACATATTACAGAGACAACATACACTAATACAAGTTTTGATTAGTCACTCAGAGTGTCATTTTTTTATACAGCTCAAGTGTCACATTGTTTTGGGATACAGGCTGCTAACTATTATTACATCACAGCTGGTAGAAGAAATTGCTTAAATACCGGGGTGTGGATTTGTTGGTTTTGGAAATTATTGTGGTTTTCTTTCCTGAGTCTATTCATCATCCTTTTGACACTTTCTGTTAAGCGCTAATAGAAAATAATTATATCTGTACCACATGGCAGAACCTATTAGATTAGTTGAGTGATTTATATACATGGTGCAGATCAAGTCATGCTCTTAAAACATAGTAACTGCTAACAGCAAACTCCACTATGGTCTGTTAAGAGTACAAAATGCTGGGTTTATTGGGGTTAAATGAACTTTTAGAACTATTTTGCTTCACATTTCACATCCGTTTCAGAAATTACATTATTTTGGTACATCACTGTTTTAAACCAAATTGTTTTCAGTGATTTCACTTCAAATAATCATCACTTCAAAGAAATGTATGACAAAATAGCAACGTGTTTTTAATGACTTCTGACTTCTTTTTTAAAATTTTATTATTAGTAGTAATTAAAGTTTAACTATGTCTTGGACCTTACATTTATCTGACATGCAATAAATTATGGTAATTATTATTTACTGTAAATTAAGAAAGCTCTTTTTTTTCCCTCCCGTCTCTAAAAGTGGTTTGGAAACTTGGTTACCATGAATTGGTGGAACAATATCTGGCTCAATGAGGGTTTTGCAACTTATTTTGAGTATGGAATAATTAACTACTTAAATCCTAAACTCACAAAAGTAAGTATATCTGTTAGATTTGTAAATTTTCTAAGCCTAAACTTTTAGTTTAGTTATAAAAATATTTCTGTTTAAAACTATTAAATATAGAAAATAGGAATATTAAATTATCTAATTATTTAGTATTAGAGACCAGCCAAATCCTTTACATCTGTTTTCTTTTTCCAGACTTTTACTCAGTATATATTAACAAAAATTGAGAATTACACAAGAATGTTTAATGTCTTTTCTACCTCAAATCATATTTTGTGTTTCTTACAAATCATTTAGTTTTAAAAAGCTAATGACTATTATTTTTTAATGTTATAATTGTTTTTATAACTTTAAAAATAAAAGCTACCTAAAATGTAGTCATAGGGATTAATACATATAATATGCTTATAATGCATCTATTGTTAGATCTTAGGTGATTTTTACTTATTTCAAGCTAGATCAAATTTTAAAGCAGTTGTAATCAAGTCTATGACTTTAATGATATGTAATTCTCTATATATGCCTCATAACCAATTTATATATGATATAACAACATTATATAAATATTAATAAATGATTACATTCTAGCTGAAAACGTTTTTCTGTTTTGGGTGAATATTACTATTCAAACCAGACTCACAGAGGGGCAAACTTAATTATTTCAACTCTAAGTTGAAGCTTTAGCAGCAAGACTGAATTTATTTCTAATTACAAGTTATTGAGTCAGCATCCTTGTGAATTTGTAAATCTGGCCGTTTTGGGTTTGGATAGGACAAGTAAGGAGAGGGTCGATTTTAAGAAGTTAATTGTAAAATGACAAAATCCTAACGGATTAAGAGCACCTGGAGAATCTTTTCCCTGATGGGGCCTGTTGTGCCGCCAGTCTCCTCAAGACCATGTGAGAGGCTTATGGAAATTGTGTTAGCCTTTGCAGTTAGATTTTTTAAAAATTGAAGGGACGAAGAATATCAAATGGGAAGGAAGGGGCCCCAGTTATGATTCACAGTATACCAGTTTACTTGACAAATGGTGGTTCGCAGGGCACTTCTCAATTACTGTTTGCTCTTCGCATCCAAGTCAAGTTTGGAAAGTATTCTAAAAATAGTGGATCTGGCATTTATGTGATGTTTCAGAAGTTAATGTGGCTCAATCTTTTCCTTTTAGAACGAGGTATTTTTCTCTAATATTTTACTTAGTATCCTCAGAGAAGATCACGCCCTGGAGTCTAGAACTGTGTCCTTGAAGGTGGAAAATTTCACAGAGACAAGTGAAATAAATGAGCTTTTTGATTTGTTTACTTATTACAAGGTAAAATCCACAGCATGTTTCCCTTTCTTTTGTACTCCTGCAAAAAGCTACATAAAATAGATTATTTGTTTTAAGTCAATGTGTTATCATGTGACTATTGATATAAATAATCTTAATTGTTCTGAATAAGTGGATATGAGGAAATGTGTTTAAATTAGTTTTCATCTAGCAGATAAGAATATAGTCAGATCTGTATTAGATCTTCAGTAACTTGTATCACTGAATTATTTGTTTTTAATTAAAAAAAAGCAATTGCTACTCTTAAGACTGAATTTCCATCTGATAGGATGGACATGTTAGCTGTCTACACTGTAAAAGATTGTGTACCCCAGACCCTTTCCCTAGAGGACATTGGTCTCCTTTTATAATCTGCTACTTTATTAGCATAGTTTTAAAGTGAATTGAATTCAACTTAGTGCCCAGTGTAGTCAGGAGCCCAACCCAGAGATGAAGGTAAAGGTTTTATCAAGATGAAATACATCAGATACAGAGTTTTGTTCTAATAGTGGACAACTTCTTATGCCTTAGGGAGCTTGTATGGCCCGGATGCTTTCAAGTTTCCTGAATGAAAATTTATTTATCGGTGCACTTAAGGTGAGTTTATAGAATTATTGCTATCTGGAAGGTGGTCTGCCTAAATTGCTTTGGCATATTCTTCATTTTAATATTTTCTAATTTTGCAGTCATATTTGAGGACATTTTCTTACTCAAATGCTGAGCAAGATGACCTGTGGAGGCATTTTCAAATGGTAATTATCTGACTTGCTGACACTTTCTTTGCACTATGGTTTAGAATGTACAGCACCTTCCAGGTCTGGGAGGACATATAGTGCTGCAGGAAAAATACTATGGTTTTGTTTGTCAAATTCCCTTAGGACAGGGATGTTTAGTTCTTTGAGCAGAGGTTGGAAACCACACCCAGCTGTGCTCAGTAGTCACTCCTGGCAGTATACAATGCTGGGAATGGAACCAAGGTTGACCCCATGCAAGGCAAGAGCCTTAACTCTTGCACTATCTCTGTCTGCCCAAGGTTCGTTTCTTTAGACTTCAACAGTGTATCCCAGTGCTCAGAGCAGAGCCTGGCACATAAATATATGTATAAGGACATGATTCATATATTCAGTGAATGAATGCATGCATGCATGTCTTAAATAACCATTCATACAGAGATGAGCAGAGCTCAGTTTTGCCCAGAAGATCATCCAGTGCGAATTACTGTATAAATGAGAAACAGAACATCTGTGTCATTTCTGCTAAGAAGTTGTTATCTCAAAAGATTTTGGTGATAAACAGCTGCTTCTAGGATGATTTTTGTTGTTTTACAGCACACCCAGCAGTGCTTAGTGCTTATTCCTGACTTGTGCTCAGGGATCATTCCTGGCTCTCTGCTCAGGGACTATATGGGGTGCCCGGGATTGAGCCTGGGTTGCCCTGCCCACTCTCCTATCTCTTCTGCCCCCATAATGATTTATTTTTTAAACAGGCCATAGATGACCAGAGTAAAATTGTCTTGCCAGCCACAGTCAAAGACATCATGGACAGTTGGACTCACCAGGGTGGCTTTCCAGTTGTCACCTTAAATGTCTCCACAGGCATCATGAAACAAGAGCCATTTTATCTTGGAAAGGCTCCTCCAGCCCACAAGTAGGTAGACTTGCCCTTTTGTCTTCTGCTGATGTGGGGTTGAGCTCTGAGCAAATGGAAACCATCCCTGTTGAGTACAAACCTCTCAGGGGGCTGATGTGGATGTTGGATATCAGGGTGTGAGACTGCGACTGAGCCCTTTGTGAGGAGCAGGGTCAGAGACCTGCATTGAGGACTGAAGGCAGTGCCCCTCCCCCATCTCCCTCAGAGTTTGCAGCCACACCAGCCACCACCGTAGCTTTGATGTGGTCATACCTCTTTGTCCTTTTAGACAGAAGTGATAAAGGGTTGGGGTGCAGGCAGTGGCTCTTCTTATCATGTAAATTAAGAGAAAAGGGTTGCAAGGCTGTTGCCATTCTGTCTTTACTTCCCAGTAACAAATTGAATGGCAAATATACCCTTGAGGAATATACCCTTGCGGGTGTATGTATTTGTAAACATGTATGTCATGTGAGAATCATGGCCTGGGTTCCAGTATTGGCTTTACCTGAATTCAAACCTTAGGTAAGTTCTATTTAAAGTCTCTGGGTTCAAGTGACCTATGCATGAAGTGAATGGAAAATCATGTACCTGAAGGACTGGTGCAAAAGTGAAATGAAATGAGTGTCGAATAGTTTAGTATGGATCATCATCTACTTCTTCTTTTTTTTTCTTTTTGGATGACACCTGGCAATGCTCAGGGGTTACTTCTGGCGGTGCTCAGGGGACCATATGGAATGCTGGGAATTGAACCTGGGTCGGCTGTGTGCAAGGCAAACGCCCTACCCTCTGTGCTATTGCTCCAGCCCCCACCATCTACTTCTTGTTAGATAATTTTCAACTATTTTTGATAAAGTTGTGGTACTCACAGCGCATTTTAGTCAATGGCAGCCCAAACGAGTGGTTCATTTTCTAGCTCCAACCTCCCCTACCCACATGCTCAGCTCTTCCTCTCTTTGTAACTCCAGGAGAGAAAAACAGAGGCCTGAAGGCCCTTCTCACTCTAAAGTTCTGTGACTTTGGCTAAGCAGATAAACACCCACAGTGCAAGGTTTTTTGAAAAACCAGACTTGTGGGCACTTGAGTCAGATGGGAAACACTGTCCAAAACTCCAAATTGTGTGTCTCCTCTGGTGACTAATGTCCTCATAGTCAGCTACTTCATCCAAGGCACGTCCACCGATGTGGGAAGAATGTCGGCATTCAGTAAACTTGAATGACCTGGCTGAGTCCTGCCCAACACTTTTGAGATGGGGAGAGAGCTTGAGGTGGAAAAGTATTTCCAATGTTTGTCAAGCTCTCTCTTCTTAAATTGCTCTTCACCTCTCTTGGCACGGATGAATTTGGGTCTGTCTGCAGCATTTGAATGACCTTTGAGTGAGGCCAGGTGGCTGAAATTTCATATAAATGGGCTTTGAACATATCAGGTATAAGACTGCCTCGGTGGCTAAGTTAGAAAAGAAGTAAATCTTTACGACACAAGAGTAAATTCACCGGCCAAGCAAAAGTGGTTTGTGAAAACAACAGCAAGTAAACCTGAGAATAAAGTCCTGCAGAGCCAGGAAAACACGTAGCTGTTGTGCTATTACCTCATTGAATATAGTTTGCATCGCTTTGGTGTAAAAACTAACTGGATTTTTTTTTCTCCAAATAAGTAAGACATGGATTGTCCCAGTTCTTTGGATGAGAAATGGAATTGCACAGTCTTTAGTCTGGCTAGATGAAAGCAGCAGTAAGTAACAGATTTTTTACATATCTTCACATATAAACAGTGAATATATGACCTATATACAGAGATGAAAACTGGGCGATGTCTAGCTTTGGGAACACTCTCTTGGCATGTGTTGTTGGTGGAGTTGCAGTAGCTTTGGACACCAAACACATACATACAAACACTGTTGCATACATGTTGCCTGAACAATCATTGTATATTTAAAAATAGAAAAATAAAACTAAACATTATCCTGGGGAATAAAGAACTTTATTTAGTTCTATGTGTTTTGTTGTTTGGGGGGAGCACTCCTGGCCATGCTCAAGACTTACTCCTACTCTTCACTCAGAGATCACTCTTGACAGGCTCCAGGGGCCATTCCTGGTGCCAGGGATCAAACCTGGGTCAGCCACATGCAAGGCAGGCACCCTACCTTCTGTTAGTCTCTTTGACCCCAGTGATACGTGTTTCTTTTATTGGGGGGAAGGGGTCCACACCTGGTGGTGCTCAGGGTTCACTCCTGGCAGTGCTCAGGGAACATTTGTGGTGCTGGGGATCAAACCCCAGCTGGCTGCATGCAGAGCAAGTGCTCTACCTGCTGTACTACCACTCTGGCTCTGTTTTGTTCTATTTTTCTATCTTTTTTGGTTTTAAGGAAGGTGGGCCTGCCTGGTAGTGCTAGTGAGATATATCCATAGGTGATTTGCATGTGGGAGACCCCTTGAGCTATCTCTCTGACCCCAAACAAAGAGATTAAAAATTTCAAATCAAAAACCATTATGTGTGGAGAGAACAGGTTGGTAGTTCAGTGGGGGTAGAGCTTATGCCTTGCATGGTTATGTGAGTCCCTGAGTTTGTTCCCTGGCACCATCCAACCCCTAATCAATGCCCACATAGCTCTGGTAGCCCCCGAGAACCAGTAGATGTAGCCCCAGTGATCCCTGAGCACAGCAGGGCTGACAGCTGGATATGGCCCTTGTAGATAGTGAGCACTCTGCCTGGAGCACCATAGGCCTCACAGGCTGAGTTCTGTTGGAAATGGCCACAAGCCCTTAAGCGCCACCAGGTGTGGCCCCCATTGGAAGAGAGTCTTTATATTATCCTTTGGGGGAGCATGTCTGTAGTCATTACTAGAGAAGTCTCTGATCATGTAGAGTGCCTAAAACCGTGAGAAGCTAGAGCATCCTCTCTGGAGCGTGATGCTGGTTCAGGTATGACTTTTGTGACTGACTTTTACCATTGATGATCATTCTTCTCTTCCCTTGGAAGGGTGAGAGGGACAGGATGCAGGCTGAGTGGTTTCATGGGGGGGAAATGTCATTATATATGGAAAATATATAATCACTCAGATATATATTTCAGTACTCCTTTACTATGTGTATTTGGAGAGCTTGTTATTTAGAATAAGAATCGAGTGTAAACTTGTACTGAACTCCTTTCAAAAACCTGCGATCTCAGACTCATCACATATTTCATTGCAGAAATATTTCCGGAAATGCAAATTTCAGATTCTGATCATGACTGGGTGATCTTAAATTTGAATACAACTGGGTATTATAGAGTGAAGTATGATGAACTTGGTTGGAAGAAAATTAAGGAACAGCTAGAGAAAGATCCTAAGGTAAGGATTTTTTTGGACACTTCTTACTAAATGTCAGAAACATAACACTCCCTAACCTTGTCAGAGGTGCAGTTTTTATAATCCCGTTTGCAGGGAGGAAACTCTAATGCTCCAGGCACTCTGGATTTTCCCCTTGTTCTTGCCTTGTAGACAGCACCCCTGAGCTTGATCCCCAGCACTATGCCTGATGCCCCAAGCTTTGCCAGGAGTGATCCCTGAGCACTGCCAGCTGTAGCCCACCTCCATTCCCCAAATTGAGCTTTGTAGGTGATGGTAGAGGCTGGCTTGGGAGTATATAGAGTTGAATCTGGTATAACTTACTATGAACAGCTCTGTTGCAAAACTTGGTGTTGAGGGTTTGAGAGCTAGGTTAAAGGGCCTGCTTGCAGATGGCAACCTCGGTTTAATTCTTGGCACCAGAGGGTCCCACTGAGCGGCACCATGGACCTTCACACTGATCTGGCTTCCTGAGCACCCTTTGAGAGAACCCCTCACACCAAAAAATTCAAAACTAGGCTGTTAAGCTAAAGGGCCACTGGGGTATAAGACAAAATTTTCCAGAGTTCTCTGAGACCTTCAGCAACCTCTCTATCAGTAATGGCACATGGGAACCAGAGCTTGGGTTTGGGACGGGCAGACTTGTGCTTAGTTCTGTTCCTCATTTACCAGATGCACGACTGTGGGCCTCCTCCATGATTTTGACGATTGTACGTAGTTCCATATCTGTATAATAATGACTGCCTTGTCTTACCTTAAAGTATCGTGACACTTACATAAAGGGATGTCTGCATTATGTTTGACAGAGGCAAGCCACAATCAAGGCTTTGTTTTTAAGACTCAAAATTATTCGTATTTATTCCTAAAGGTATGAGTACTCTTCACCATAGTCGTGTTGGGTCATGCCACTGTAACAGGGCTTTCTTGAGACCGTTATAGATTTCCTGAATGCACAGCAGAGGTTCGTTATTCCTGAGACATGACTGATGAGCAAAGAAAACAGCATTTCCATTATTAATATTAATTTAGAAAATGTTATTTTCCAGAAAGGAAATGGGACTGCTGCCAAGGAAAGACTTAAATGTGATTTGTTCAGATGCTGAAAGAGACGTGGTGGAGAGAACTTTTCTAGCCCTAGATCCTCAGCCATGTGGGGAGGTAGTGAGGGAAGATGCAGGAGGCTTTGAACCCTCTCTGGGTGCTGGCCTGACACAGATGTGTGTCCCACAGTGCTGGGGCTCCTATGAGAGGTTGCCAGATCGCCCTTACTTTTCCCTGAGCCAGGGGCTCTATGGGTGATTTTATATCAAATCAGTGAAATCTCGAGAAGACAGTGTTTCAGGGAGGAGGTCACCCAAATGATGCTCAGGAGCCCGTGGGGGGGTGGCGGTGGTGCCCTCCTGGCATTTTTCAGCCAACTCATTGTGGTTCAGGCAGGTGGAGAGGGGGTGGGGGATTTCTGGGATTACCCAGACCATCCTGATAGCTGCACTTGGCAGTGCTCAGAGGCACTTTGTGGTGTTGGGGATCAAGTCGTGGTCAGCCACTCAAGACATTTGGGTCAGATTTTTTTTTGTTTGTTGGTTTGGTTTTGGTTTGAGGGGACATACCTGGTGTAGTGCTTAGGACTTACTTACTCTAGGCTCTCTGTGCAGGGATCAAACCTGGTAAGTGAGTGTACTACCCACTGTATTGTCTCCCTGGTCCAAGGCATGGGTCTTAATTTCTGTGTTAACTTCTCCAGCCCCATCCATAAGATTTTATTTTTAATATTAAATAATTTTAGGGTGCTGGAGGAATATTACAATGGGTAGGGCACTTGCCTTTCACGTGACAGACCTGGGTTCAATCTCTGGCATCCAATGTGGTGCCCAGAGCATTGTCAGGAGTAGTTTCTGAGCACAGAGCCAAGAGTAATCCCTGAGCATCACTGGGTGTGGCCCAAAGCTAAAAAAACTATATTAAAAAATTGTTTTGGCTTTGTTTTTTGAGCCACACCTGGAGGTGTTCAGGGCTTGTTTTTGTCTCTGCTTAGGGATCACTTCTGGCTATGCTCCGATGATCGTATACAGTGCTAGGAATTGAACCCCGGGTCACGCTTAACTGCCCTCCTCCTTCTGGTGCTATCTCTCTGGCCCTGCAATTGATTATTTCCAAAAAGTGCCTCAATTTTACCAGAATACTGCTATGTCATAAGTTTGTGTGGCCTCCTCTGCCAAATTTTTTTTTATGAAAATTACTTGACTTTTGTAATTCAATTAAATATATATTTTCTATCTTTTCAACTTGGCTTTCTATTTTACTTTTTGACATGCTGCTTTTTGGAAAGTATTTTGGCATAACTCTGCCTTGTTTGATCCTTATGATGAATGTCCAAAGGGATTATTTATTAAAAACAGATGTACAAAAAACTTATGGGGAATATCCTTAGTAATTGTCATTTCTGCGCACATGAGATAATTCATGAGGACATGCCCTGTAAGCAGCAATGCTCTTCAAATGTTATTTTGATTTTTTAAAACTAAACAGTGTTCTCATATTTTCTTGCACATATTTTGGATCTAATTTGCAGGCAATTCCTGTTATTCATAGACTCCAATTGATTGATGATGCCTTTTCCTTGTCTAAGTGAGTATATTTTTTTGTTTCGTGGTTTTAGACTGACCTTGATAACTTTTAAAAAATAATAGCCTCAAACAACTATGAAGTTAAACTCAGGATACAGGTCCTAAATATTGATAATGATCTAATTCCATGGATTTTAGAAGGCAAGTTGGATAGGCAATGATATGGATGAGTACATGGTTCTAAATGAAATAAGGCATTTGCAAAAGACACATACTGTATGAGTTTACTTTAGGTGATGCTTAAAAATCAAGATAGCCAAAATCATAGAGAAAATAAAAGGGTGGTTGCCAGCTTCTGGGAGGAGAAAGGAATAAGGGAGTTACTGATTCAGTCTAACAAGACGGAGAGTTATTGAGCTGGATGGTGGTGATTTTTGCACAGCATTAGGAATGCATTTAGTATCACTGAGTTGAACACTTTAAATGATTAAGGTGTTAAGTTTCATGTGATATGTTTTTTATCATAAAGAATAACTTAGAAAAAGGCAATATTTAAAATTAATTTTTTAATTGAATTACAGTGAGATACACAGTTACAAAGTTGTTCATGATTGGGTTTAAGTAACATAATTTTCCAACACCAGTCCCTTCACCATTGTACATTTGCCGACCAACAATTTCCTCAGTTTCCCTACCACCTCACCCAGCCTCTATGGCAGTCAATTCTCTCTGTCTCTCTGTCTCTCTCTCTCTCCCTCTCTCCCCCCAGCCCCTTTTGGGCATTATGGTTTGCATTATAGATACTGAAAGGTTATCAGGTATATCCCTTTACATACTTTCAGCACCCAATTTCTGTCCAAAGTAATCATTTTCAACTATTTTTGTTGGAAGAGACCAGTATAACAATAAAAATGACAACTTTTCAAAACATTTATCATGAAAAAGGAAATATTGCTGTTAGAAATAAACTCAGTAGAAAACTGTTTTTTATAATTTGAAAGGAAGGGTATTTTTTTTCTCAAGGCAAAGTTTAATGAAAAATTATATCACAATTCTATATTTTTAAATTAAATTAACCTTGGTGTAATAAAATTTAAACTGATTATAGAGAAATTTTTACAAAGTCTTAGAAGGAAAGCAAAGATGATTCAGTGTTTTATTTTAGTTTTTAAAATTAAAAAAAAATTTTTTATTAGTGAGACACCATGAGGTACAGTTGTAGACTTACAAACTTTGGTGTTTCGGTTTTAGTTATACAATGACCAAGTACCCATCCCTCTACTAGTGCCCATTCTCCACCACCAATGATCCCAGTAGCCCTCCCAACCCCATTCCCCGTACCCCGCTCCACCTATATGGCAGGGCATTCCCTTTTGCTTTCTCTTTCCTTTAGGGTGTTGTGGTTTGCAGTAGAGGTATTGAGTGGCCATCGTGTTTAGTCCATAATCTACTTTCAGCACGCATCTCGCATCCTGAGCAAATCCTTCGAACACCCTTTACTTGGTGTTCCCTTCTCTATATGAGCTGTGTTTTCCCCCAACATGTGCTGCTGGTTTCCAAGCTATGGAGCAGACCTCCTGGTACTTATCTCAACCATTCTTGGGTGTTCATCTCCCATTCTGTTACTTTATATTCCCCAGATGAGTGCATTATTTCTATGTTTGTCCCTCTCTTTCTGGCTCATTTCACTTAGCATGATACTTTCCATGTAGAATCACTTGTTTGCAAATTCCATGACTTCATCCTCTCTAACTGCTGCATAATATTCAATTGTGTAGATGTACCAAAGTTTCTTTAACCAGTCATCTGTTCTCAGGAACTTGGGTTTTTTCCAGATTCTGGCTATTGTGAACAGTGCAGCAATGAACATACAAGTGCAGATGTCATTTCGACTGTACTTTTTTGCCTCTCTGGGATATATTCCCATGAGTGGTATTGCTGGGTCAAATGGGAGCTCAATTTTTAATTTTTTGAGAATCGTCCATACTGTTTTCCAAAAGGGCTGAACCAGTCGGCATTCCCACAAGCAGTGAAAGAATTTCTTGCCACATCTGCGCCAACACCGGTTGCTTTTGTTCTTTTAGATGTGGGCCATGATTCAGTGTTTTAAAAGGGAAGTTCTCAATGGAAAAGTTTAGAAGAATGCAGTAGAGAAACTAGAAATAGAATAAATGAGCAGTATTTAAATATGCATAGAATGATTATCAAAAGTAGTCACTGTCACTGTCCTCCCTTTGTTCATTGATTTGCTCGAGCGGGCCCAGTAACATCTCCATTGTGACAATTGTTACTGTGTTAGTCATATCAGATATGTCACGGAGAGCTTGCCAGGCTTTGCCATGCAGGCGAGATACTCTCAGTAGCTTGCGGGGCTGTCAAAGAGGGGCGGAGGAATCGAACTTGGGTTGGTCATATTGGCCGTTTGCAAGGCAAATGCCCTACCCGCTGTGCTATGGCTCCAGCCCAAAACACTGCCCTCTCGTTCTTCATCTCGAGTGGGCCCAGTCACGTCTCCATTTTGAGACTTATTGTTACTGTGTTTGGCATATTGAATACATCACAGGTAGCTTGCCAGGCTTTGCCGTGCAGGCGAGATACTCTCGGTAGCTTGCCGGGCTCTCCAAGAGAGGTGGAGGAATCAAACCCAGCACGGCCGGGCTGGCTCTGTGCAAGGCAAACGCCTTATCTCTGTGCTATCGCTCCAGCCCTATCAAAAGTAGTAAAAATAAATATTTAAAAAGTCTCAATTAAGAATAAAACTTACAAGGGTTGGAGAGAGAGCCCAGGGGCTATGATTACTTTGCGTGTGGCCAATCCTGCTCTGAGCCCCCAGAACCACATGGTCCCTTGAATACCACAGGAACCGTTGCAGAGGTCAAGCATTGTTGTGTCTTTGACCTGTTGGCTGAGAGTTGCTAAGAGGAGCCTCTGCACCTCCTGAGTATGGCCTTTGAAGTCTTTCTCCTCTACAAAATGAATAAAAATTGGGGCTTTGGAGATAAGTCAAGTAGTAGAGACATGCTAGGTATATACAAGATTGGGTGTAGTCCCTTACTAAAAAGTGAATAAATGAAACTTTGGTGAAATACAAATGAGTCTGGCTTACATTGGTAAAGACTGTTAAATATTAAGATGGTAAATCTGTGAAGACTATTGGATATTTGTCCATGTTTTAATGTGATCTTGTAGGTTAAGGAAATAAAGTAGCTGGCATATCAAAAAGAAATAGTTGCTGAAAAACATAGTCTATCATTTGAAACTTTTGTTCACCACCAGGGCTGGAGCAGTAGCACAGTGGTAGGGCGTTTGCCTCGCACGCAGCCAACATGGCTGACCCGACGAGTTCGATTCCTCCACCCCCTCTCGGAGAGCCCGGCAAGCTACCGAGAGTATCTCGCCCTCACGGCAGAGCCTGACAAGCTATCCGTGACGTATTCGATATGCCAAACACAGTAACAACAAAGTCTCCAATGGAGATGTTACTGGGCCCACTCGAGCAAATCGATGAACAACAGTGACAGTTCACCACCAAGGGTGATGGCTATAGGGATCATTTTAATGAGATATGGCCCATGTTTTTATGTATTCAAGAATTACTAATTGTATTTATAGTAGACATATGTAGTATATTCTATGCTGATAAATGTTATTCAGGCACCTTAATATCTGTTTGGAATTAAAAATTTTAGACTGTACAACTAGGGAGCTTGAATGAGAAATTATTCAGTCTGTTCTGCCTTTCTTTGTTGTCACGTTTCTTGAGCAAAAGTTTGCATATTTTCTCCTTAATTTCTCCGCCTCCCCCTCTGTGACTTGTTTCACTTTTTCTTTACTGCTTTGCTGAAACACCTCCTAAAATTAGCATGACTTTGATAGTTGACTACATCCTGCTGTATTTTGCTTTCCAAGACTTTATTTTGCTTTCCAAAACTCCAGTAGGCAGGCCTGTTTCTCCTCACATATCTGACTTTTCTTCCTGTTGACCATCCTCAAGATTAGTCATGGTGATGTTAATTTCTTCTCTTTTTCCTTTAGATAACTTAGACATACTCAATACCATCTCAGTGATTATTCTATTATATACACATAGTGTGACCTCAGCAAATGTTTGTGGAAGGCTATCTTGATGATATCTAAATATCTCTCTCTCTCTCCTTCTCTCCTGTCTTCTCTTTGTCCTGAACAGTCAACTTGATTTCTATCTCTAAATTGCTCCTGCAGTTAATTTCTTAGTGTGCACCCTTCTTTCAATTGATCTTGAAGAATTGAAGATCTCTCCGGCTGTCATTGAAATGCCATGTCTCATCTAGTCTTAGGAATGTCATCTGGACCCTCACCTTCTTACCTTTGCAATTTTTTGTCATCTCTCACCTGGCCTGTTGCATTAGTGTCCAGCTATTAGTTGTTTTGAATCCCATTCTGTTTTGTTTAGCACAGTTGCAAACAAATTTTTAGATATTTCATGATGATACTTGGGTGTTTTAACAAATTTCCACCAAATGGAAACTTTTTCTCTTGTTCTTCAAAACTCATGGTTTTGGCTCATCTTACCAATTCACAGTACCTCTCACGGTAACACAGAAGAAACTCTACCTCTGTCATCTTGGCTTGCTCATCACTGATTCCTTGTCTACCTTCTCCATACTAAATTTACTTCCTCCTTATTTTTCACCCATTTCAGTCCTACCCGTTTTTTACCTTTCTCAACTTCACCCTGTAGAAGGCTTTCCCTGACTTTTTAAAAATCATATACCTGTGTTTTTCTTCTTTTTCTATTGTACTCGTTGTCTTTTCTAAGATCTTTCATTAATCACTTCTAAGTCTCAGCTCCTCACTGGATTAATAGTTTCTGAATAACAGGCAAAAAAAAATGTCATCTGTGTTTGTGTTTTCACAGTAGCTGGCAATGCATTCAACAGAGAATGTCCCAAAAACTTGCTAAGTAGAAATTACACTCCCAGAAATATGCATGCTTAATGCACAGATATTAATTATCCAGTAATTAATCCAACACTGGGCTTGGATTTTTTTTTAATCTCCAGACATTTGGGTATTTGAATGAACCAACTTGAAATGGATAGTTGGTCAACATTACTTGAGTTCCATCTTACCAAGAAAATGGGACCTTTCTTTACCCTCTAGTTTTTGTTTTTTTTATTTGACAGTCTTACTGAAGGCAGGCATTGAAGCATGGAACAAGCATGGAAAGTGTGCAAATTCATTTAGCGACTGAAGGTTTTTTTTGAGTGTGTGTGTTTTTTAAACCAAACAGAAACAATTATATTGAGATTGAAACAGCACTTGATTTAACCAAGTACCTTGCTGAAGAAGATGAAATTATAGTATGGTATGCAGTCTTGATGAACCTGGTAACCAGGGATCTTATTTCTGAGGTGAACAACTATGATTTATACCCATTATTAAAGGTAATTTCATTCTTTGTCATGTGGTTTTAAGAAAAATATTCTCTTTCTCTTTATACATTCTCTCCAGCATCTGTGAAATGTGTCTTTCTCAAATTAATCTCTGATATATATCTCTATATATATCTATATATATGAGTATACATGTATCACATTAAAATACCTTATTAGGTCTGATCTACGAGATGAATGTGAGAGAAGTTTGAAAAGTTGTGTAATTCTTGGGGGAAATAATAATAGTTCTAGGAAGCACAGAAATGGCCTGCCTCTTTTTTCAGTAAAGGATAGTATTTTTTAGCGACTATTTAGCTAAAATTGTTCCTAGTAACAAAGTGATTTCTAACAAGGCTATATTTGTAATTAAAATATTCTAATTTATACTAGGACCAGAACTTAAAACTAGAGAAATAGATCCAGGAAGATAGCTCAGTAAGCTAAAGAACATGCTTTGCATATGAGAATCCTAGGTTTGATCCCTAATATTATGAGGTCTTCTGAGCACTGCTTGAGTGATCAGATCACTGAGCCCTATTCCGCAAACACTTCCAGGTGTGGTCCAATACTCAAAACAAAGAAGCAAACTACCAAAAAGATATATCACAGGGGGAAAATAAACATTTTAGCATCAGCTTTTGGTGTTGAACTCTTTCATGTGCACTCATTCACAGAAAGAATGAGGGAGGAATTTAAATGAATGAATGATGAAGTGATATGTCCCAGGTCATTATACAAAGGAGAAACGTTTCTATATAAAAGTACAAAAGGGGGAAAGTTCCATTATGAGATCTTAAAAATCATCATAAGAAATAGGGCACAGGTGAGAAAGAAATTGGGGACAATCTTTCTGAGAACTTAGGAACAGAAACGAATCAGCAGTTGTGGTAGGTAGTGATTTCAAGTGAGTTTTGGGAGCATTATCAGGATAGGATCACTCAAAATCTCAGATTTGTTGTTGTAGTCCTGGGACCACACCCACCTGTGCTCACTCCTGGTTCTATGCTAAGGGATCACTCCTTGGGGACCATGTGAGGTTCGACCATATTGAACTCGAGTCAGCCACATGCAAGGCCAGTGCCCTGCCCACTGTACTTTCGCTCTGGTCACAAAGCTCCAGATTTTCTTTTCTTTAGTATCCAAAAATGCTGACAGGAACGTGCTTAGCTCTGGGAATCCTGATCAATAGAGGCAGGCACACAAATGTTTGTGGGATTTAGGTGACTGGTTGTATGTGATGACTGGTTCTGCATATAGCACTAAAAACATACTTGGTTTTGAGGAATTTCAAGGAATAGCATTTAATTTTTTCTTAAGAATGATTGGTAAATGTACAGCTTCTATAATATTATTATTTACCAGCTTATATTTCAGAAAGATTCCAGACTAAGGTCATAGATTTTTCTAAGGCATAAATCATATGATAAAGTTTAATGGTTTTATTTTCTTTATTTTGAAGGTAGCGGACAATATTTGGGGTGATATTAATAATTGTTCATATCTATTGAATTCTTACTATGTGTCACATGATGTACCTACCTAAGTTATGTTATTTATTGCTTGTGAAGAAGAAAATTGAGCCTAGATAAGTGAAAAAAATAATCAGTTACACATTTAGCAATTCACAGAGATTATTTTTAAAGAAATATGTCACATTTCTCTGAATGCTTCTTCACAAAAAAGGAATAAAATATAAATTCAGTGTTTTGAACCATGAGGTATGTTTATGTTTTCATTGTTTATAGAAATACCTATTAACAAGACTTACTTCAGTATGGAATGTTTATTCAACCACAATTCGTGAAAATGCAGCAGCTCTGGAGGATGACTATTTAGCTCTGTAAGTATGTTTTGGAGCAATTTAATAAGGTAGTTCATATTAATAGCTAAGTTCTGATATATAAAATAAGATCCCAATAACTATTATTTCTTGAGAGATTTTATATGCTACTGCCAAACAATAGCCTTGGTGTTGGTGAACTACTTGCATCCTAACAGGAATGAATAGTTTAGGATCATAACTTACTTGCAAAGTAAATAGAGGAAAAAATCAGAACCTAGAGTTCTGTATTCTCAAATGTTTAGGTACTGGTTGAAGTTGTAAGTGTGTCTTACTACTGGTGAAGTGTTGTGCAAATTAGAACTATTCTACATTATTGAATTGAAGGGCATGGAAAGACCACAGGAAACAATGTTCCTTCTGAATATTATTGATAACAAATTTTACTATAATCCAAATCTTATGTGGGAGGCTGACAGTGAAATATATGTCATTTATGTGTGATCCTGAGTAAGAATTGTGAATGATTTTCATTATTAACAGTCCTTTTTTTGAGGACTGTAGCCTGCAGTTGTGATACTCTGGCACAAGCGTGACAGACAAAGCAGGGCTGAGGTGCCAGCACCTCCCTTTGACCCAAGGTTTGTATGTGTGTAGGATGGACATCGAGATATAAGGAGAGAACCATGACCACCTCTAAACAACATTAAGATGAAGTCAAACCAAAAGAGAAACACAAAATAGACAAAAATGTTACTCTGTTTTCTGGAGTTTCTTTGAGGGAGAGAGGTTTTAGTGGAAGGACATGTGACAGAAAGGACAGTGAGTTGGATAGAAAGACTGTGGGAGAGGGTAAGAATAGCTGCAAAGTGGATAGGAAGTTATGTGCAGAATGAGAAGTCAGAGGTGTGCTTGGTCAACCAGTATATATGTTAACCTGCCACATTCACCATCGTAGTGACCAGTGGTTGTGGCATCCCAGGACCAATCCTCTTTTGCATGGCCATGGACAGTTAGAGACAACATCCAGAGAACTACATGTGGCTGTAGTCAACTTTTAAGGGTAGAAAGAGAGTGATGATATGTGAATGCTAGAACTCCCTCTCTCTCTCTCTCTCTCTCTTTCTCTCTCTCTCTCAACCTCTCTCAATCTCTCTCTTTACCTCTCCTTGGACATCCCATTATTGCTTATCAGAAAGTCAGAGCAATGTAGAGGTTGGCTCTTGAATTTTATGGAGCCTTCTGGCCAGTTTGAATTCCTTTACTCTGGTGTAAACTCAGACTACAGTGCCCTGAAGGCACTGCCAATTGGGATTTATTATTGTCTTTTATTGTATTTCTTCAAATTAATTTTGTTTTGAACCATAAGGTATATAGCTTCTTAGCTTTATGAGAAAAATAACAGCAACAAAAAGGCCTCTCTTCTTTTGCTGGACATAATTGATAAGCCTGGAGGAGTAGAGGAAGAAATAGGGAAGGAAAGGTGCATTGTGAAGGGGGGAAAAGAATTGGTTTTCTCTTGTTTCCAAGTATAGAGAAAGAAGTACTTTTAAAAGTGTATGATATCAGATACTCTGAATTCACTTGTTTAATCCATGAAGCAATTATTGTAAAGGGGAAGAAAAATAAATTGATAACAGATGTGGAGTGTGTGCACGCCGTGTGTGTTTCAGGAAGATGAAGAATGGCATTAATTTATTTCTAACTTCAAAAAACACCAGCTTTCGGAGTTTATGTGGTGCCTGAGAACCTCTCTGTATATCTCTCTCTGCATCTTAAGTACATTTGCCATCCACAAAAGCTATTTTTTACACAGTCCGTATGTTATTGGAAGTATGCTTTTAAATACCTATTCTTTCTCATGAAACACTTATTCTTTGAAGGCAGAAAAAATAAATGTAGTCATGCAAGATAAAAAATGTTTTTCTTTGCATTTTTCTTCGAGAATATCACTGGAAAAACTGTTTTTAACTGCATGTTGGTTGGGCCTCGAAGACTGTCTTCAAATGTCAAGAGAACTCTTCAGAAAATGGATGAAACATCCAGAAAATGAGTAAGAAGGATGCTGTAACTACACTTTCTTATGCCCTATTTCAGCACCCATTTCTCTACCTTTTCAGTGATCTCATTCTGGGAGCAATTTCTTTGTTTTCACTTGGTAATGTCTCCATAATATATTCCCTTTTTTTCCCTTCCAAATACTTTGTAGTACGGGACTGTGCACATCAGTGAAGTTATAATATATACCATGAATTGCCTCCCAGGTCTCACATTCCCTAAGAAGCTCTTATGCCTAGATGGACTCTTTTGTATATTGTCATATTTGATAACTATGATAAAATATATTACTTCTCCAAAGATATTCCTTCCTCATGAAGTTAAATCCTCCCGAGAGCTGAGCCTTAGACCCTCTAATTTTGGTTTTATTTTATTACCTCTAAAAAAGCACCTAGAATGGACTCTTAGGAAGTGTGACAACTATGAGAGCAAATTGAATTATCTATGTATATAGTTTGTACTACTCTAATTTACACCTCCCTTAAAACATCATTTCTAAACTAATTTAATGATTTTTTTCATGCTAGAGATTTCTGCAATTGCTTTTCTAGATTCCTGCTTTTGACCTTTATTTCTTAGAACTCCAACTATATCTTCCCTATGTGTATAGCAATGTAGAAAACATGTTTACCAACTTTTATGAGAAATGTCATTGCATGTTATGACTTACAGAATACCTGACCCAATTAAAAGTGTGATTTTATGTTATGGCATTGCCTTGGGAAATGATAAAGAATGGGACTTCTTGTTAAATGTCTACAAAAGCAAAACAAAGGAAGACGAAAAAATGCAATATGCTTATGCCATGGGCTGCAGTAGAGATCCACGGATACTTAAAAGGTAATTATTGAAACTTGCCTTGAAAGATCCTGGTGTTTGAGACTGGAGAGAGAGAGTAGATCAGGCAGGGTACCTACCTTGCACCCAGCCAACCAGGGCTCAATCCCCGGCACTGCATCCCCCTTAGTCCCTCCAACAGTGATTCCCTGAGTGCAGAGCCAGGAATAAGCCCTGAGTACTGCTTGGTATGGTCCCAAAACAAAATCAAGTATAATATACATGAATAAAAGAAGAAGAAAAATGTTCCTGGTGGAGGAACCTGGAGGTAGTGATAAGGCTTCAATTTCCAACTAAGTTAGGACCCTGTGGAGATTATAATTCCATTTATTTAAATGAACTCTGTTGAATCCTTTTTGACATATTTGTGGTTTTGCAAATATACCTTTGCAGGTACATGCAGTATGCCATCATTACGTCGCCATTCACTTTTAATGAAACAAATGTAATGGAAGTTGTGGCAGCATCTGAAGTTGGCCGGTACATTGTAAAGGACTTTTTAGTCGACAATTGGCAAGCTGTGAGTGAAAGGTAAGAAGGAAACATGAGACCTTTCTTGCATTTAGGTCCTCAAAGTCCTCTGCATCAACTAGAAAAATAGTGATTTTTTTTCCTGCATTTAGTCTCACCACCAACTGACTGAATTATAAAAGAGATCACCTATCCTTGGTTTTGGCTTTCTGTATAAAAATGGATTTACATAGGATGCTTAACCAACCTCGGTATCCCTATTGTGCTCATTATAAATCTATTCAGACATCCAGATTCAAACAGATTTGTATTACAGTAAGAGTGCACCTCATTCATTTATTTTGTGGGATGTATCAATATATCTTTTTTAAAAATGCTCATTGTTACATCAGCCTGGATGTGGCACAAATGTCTTTTGTTTACTGAATTCCTTTCATATATCTAATTTCCATGTTCTTGAACCCACTGTATTTCTTTTTAAGATCAAATATGCAAACCAGAGAGATAATACAGGGGCTAAGGTGCTTGCCTTGGATAGAGCTGACCCTGGTTTGATTTCTGGCACCATCTTGTCCCTGAGATGCACTGAGAGCAACCCCTAAGCACAGAGCCAGGAGTAGCCTCCAAACACCACTAGGTGACCCAACCTTGCTCTTCCTTCCCCAAATATCATACATGCTTGCTTCCCAGTTCCTCTGCTGGGTAAAATACACACTGACAGGCAAAACCCAAGCAATACACACTGAACCACCAAAACTTACCTGCTGTCTGGGGTCATTGCTTCAGAGCACCTTATGAGTTCCTTAAGTTTCCTGGGATCCTGAAGACCTTGGGAATAAAGGTGTCTTCCCTTTTTTGCTTGTTATTAAAGATTATCTGCACCTTCACAGACCCTACTTCCCATTGGGAATTAGGGGTTCCCAAAGGGGTTGAGATATAAATCAGAATTAATCATAAGGGTCCTTCTGCTCCATGAAGTTTCAGAGATTCCAGGCTGAAAGGGTTTGTCAGTTTTTGTTGTCTTTCCTTGGAGTTTGTATCATATTCTATCTCCTAGAACCCTTGTCTGACCTACTGACTCTTCTGGCTTTGTTTTATTTGGGGGCCACACAGAGTGGTGCTCAGGGCTTACTCCTGGCTCTGTGCTCAGGGATCACTCCTGGTTGGGTTCTGGGGACCCTATATGGTGCCAAGGAATAAACTCAGGTCAGATACATGCAAGGAAATTGCCCTGACCATTTTACTATTGCTCCAGTCCCTGACCTACTAGCTTTGCCTGGTCTGCAAAGCCATCTGTCCTCTTGCTGTTGTGGTCATTTTGTGCAAAGTCATTCACTTCAACTACAGTCCATGACTGTTTTCTTTCAGACCTTCCTGTTAAATCATCTAGTTGAATTAAAATCTTGAGAGAGCAGCTCCTTTAATAAATATGTCATGATATATTTGAGAGTCCAACTTATAACTAATACAGGCAGACCCATTTTCTTTTCCTTCTGAGGCTCTGCTGGGCCCTGAGGAAGATAGACTCTTAGTTCTCAGGCTTAGTATTAATCATACCTGACACTTAGTATATGTGTGCTAACACTGTTGTGGTTTAGGTGATCTGGTTTCTGTCAGCCCTGGATTGTGTCCACACTTCAGTGAACCCGAGCTGTTTCCCTTAGGTTCAGCTCAGCACCTGTCTGGTGGAGCAGAGCTTTGGAATCACCAAGATGGTTATTATACTGAGAAGTTCACGAATTCACTTTTTCCTTTAAAATCAGAACCTGCACACATAGGGCAGGAAATTGGTGCCCTTCACTGGTCCCTCAGATGGCTCAGGAAGAGTTAAATATAGAACCAATTGAGGATTAAGACTTTTGTCAACCAGTGACTGAGTATATACTTTGCATGCAATAGGTTTGGGTTTGATTCCTAGCACCACATGGTCTCCTGAGCACCCCATGGAACCAGTGAAGCCCCAACACTAACAAATTCATTATCATTGATGCTCATTATAATATAATGCATTGCTCAATATAATAGCCCCTGATGTGGATGTTTAAATTTGATAAAATGTCCAATTTAGTTCCTCAGTTGCACCAGCTTTGGTCTAAGTGTAGAGTGTGGCTGGTGGCTCCCTCACTCAGCAACTCAGAATCAGAACATCCACATGCTTGCTAAGTCTCCCTTGAACCTCAGCTCCCCCTTACTGGTGGCTTTTAGCCTCCTGGCCTCAGGTCCAGTCTACCTATCTCACACTACTCGCAGTACCAGTGGCAGTTCAGCCCCAGTGATAGTGAGCCCGGTGTCTGATAGGTGACCAATCACATGATCTTATCTTAGCAATGATGCTTCTGTGTATGGGCTCCCCAGTTTTACAACTTACAAATTGCCAACCCTGCCTTAATTTTGAGGTAAACTCTCTCCTCAATCTAGAAGAAATTCACACATTTACCAATGTAGTTACCCAGTTTTCTGGGCTGTTTAAAGGTTAGAACCTGGTTTCTTTGAAAATTTTTAGAAAATTTCTTGAGTAATATTACAGACTGTGACAATACATGTGCAATGTAAATGAAGAATTTTTTTCCATTCCCCCTATAGAAATGGATTTGCTCATCTGAATTATATGTAGTCTGTGAATAGAATTAATACTTTTAGTTGGGAACTTAAAAAACAAAAGTACTATTTTTACTCAACTCTGTATATATTATGCTACCCTCAATTTGTCTATTTTTTAATTGCAAGTAAATTGAAGTAAATCTAGTGTGTGTTTTCACTATCAAGGGAATTCAGCTATTTCTTCTTTATTCTATTGTATTAACTTTATTTTCTTTCTTCTTTTAATGCTTCCAAAGTCTATATATTTTTTAACTACAGATATTTTGGGGGCAGGTATGTATCTGCTCGTTGTCCATAGATATGCTGTATGGCTCTATTTTCTTTTTTAGTGTCTATTTAGTACCCCTGATTTACAATAGTATTCCATAACAATGTTTCAGAAAGAATATGGATACACCATACCCATTTACAAAAGTGCCCAAACCCCTTCATCAGTATGTCTAGGTCCCAGGTCCCTTCTTACCCCATCCTAAACCTCCATCTTAACGAACTCAATTCTATAGGCTGACTCTTGGGTCTGTTTGCATTGGCCATTGTTTATTCCCTTAATATGTTTCTTGACACTGTACATATATGCAAGATCCTCCAATATTTGTCCTTCTCCCTCTGACTCACTTCACTCAGCAGAATGCCCTCTAGTTCAATACAAGTCGCAGTGAACTGCAGGATTTCGTCTTTTCTCATAGCTAAGGGGTAGTCCAACATGTATAGACAGCACTCGTGCTTTATCCATCCATCTGGTGTTGGGCCCTCAGGATGTTTCCAGATTTTGTTTGTTGCGAATAAATTCAGGGATTTGTTTCAGGTGATTCTTCTTGGGTATTTCACTCCAACTAGAGATGTTTCTTACCATGTCTGTTTGTGGGAATTTAGAAGAATCAGGGCAGCTGTATTTAAGGGGCAAAACTTGCACATTTAACCTACTCCCTTATATATTTTTCCTTACCTGCCCTTTGTAATTGCCGAAATGACTGGCTTGATTGTGATGCTCACACAGTTGCTTGTGATGCTCACCAGGGTCCTGAAATCTTGCAAAGGCTTGATTATGGTGTGCCAGGGATCACACACTTTGTGATGTTGGCCATTGCCAGTAACACTGCTTCCTGGATCACCCTTAGTCTTTGAGACAGCACCAAAGATACGACTCCAGGCCTCATGCCCGGGTGGCTGTTGCCTTGCTGGCCTCCATCCCTGGGCCTTTGATTTCAATTTTGTGACATCTATTCTAAGCATCTATTTGAAAAAGATTTGAGCAGTTGTTTTTGAAAAGAATGCTTCACATTTAAATAATTTTTTTAAGTAGATGTCACACGAATCAGTAACAGTATTTCTTTAGGGCTACCGGACTTTTTACTTTCTATTGAATCTGGGTTGACTTGTGCATTCAAGCCCATGTTCTCCCTTAAACACACATCCCTCTCTTTCTTTCTTTTTAAGCTCATATTCTCTCTTAACTGTATTCTCTCTTTCTCCCCATCACATCTTTCTCAATAAATTCTGTTCAATAAAAATTATCTTGTTTCAAAAATAATAAGTTTAAGCTAGGGTTTCTGAGATAACTCCAAAACAGAGCACAGGCCTGGCTTGTGCAAGTTTTTGGTGGTCCCAAGCATCATTAGTCCCAGTACTACAAAGCTGAGCTCTGCCATGAGTGGCCCCTGGAAATTTTTTGAAAACAAAAAATAATAATAATAATGTAAAAAAGGTAAATGTAGCTGGACTAATTCAAACTAGTGTTTTCTCATATCTTTGGGAGATAGAAATTAGCAGTGGTTAAACCTGAGCTTTTTTTCTGTGGTATAAAATATCCTTTTATCTGGGCAAACATTCCCCACCTTGATTAGTGTCTTGTTTTGCAGGTATGGACCACAGTCATTGATTACCCTAATGTATAGCCTTGGGCGAACCCTAACCACAGAGCCACAGATCACCGAGGTAAGTGTAGCTTATGACTAATGATGATTTTTAGGAGGTCACTATTCACATACTTTGAAATTATTCAAAAGAAAAGCAATAAGCTTATTGAATCCTAACACGCTGGGCACCCATGCATGCTGTTTTCAGGGCACCTGATGTTGTACCCCAAACTGGTTCCTGAAATCTATGGCTTTCTACTGTGGGGGGCACTCCCACATCCCCAAAAATCTGGAACTAAGTTTTTTGTTGTTTTTGTAGAAAAAAAATGTAAAAGCTTTTCATTAGCTCATGAAGGCCCTCAGAGGGTTCCCCTGCCTTCCCCTCTAGCTACTTGGCCCATCTCACGGCTGAGTGTCAGAGGCCACAGACACCTCAGTCGCTTTCCCTCAAGTGACACTTTTCTTTACATTTATTGTTCCACACTTTATGACACTCAGGAATGCTCCATCTGCAATGTGTGTGGGGTTACCCTCCCCATTCTTATCTTTTGCTGAATAATTCCCACTTACCCCCAGTGCTCCTGCTACAGCCCCCAAGTCTAGAAATTTTTGGGTAAACTGATTTACAGTCCCTTCCTTCTTCATGAACTCACTGTGAAGATCTCCATTGCATCACTTTATTAAACAGAAAAGTATGTGTCGTGTCTTCTCACTTCTGGAGCTGATGTTTTTGGTTGTTTTTGTTTGTTTGTTATTTTTTGTTTTTGGCCACACCTGGCAATACTCAGGGCTTACTCCTGGCTCTGCACTCAGGAATGACTCCTGGTGGTGCTCAGGGGACCATATGTGGTATGAAGAATCAAGCTCAGGTCAGCCACATGCAAGACAAGTGCCCTGCCCATTTTTTACTATCACTCTGGCTCCTGAGCCATATGTTAATGACAGTGATAGTCTAGGGCCTCCAGTGGGGCTTGTCATTTCAGGTCCTGTGTTGCCCTGGGATGAATTTCTACTAGACAAGCATTCTCCACATGGAGGCGTCTTAGAAAAAGGAACTCTTGGGGCCAAAGCGATAGTTCAGTGGGTAAGACGTTTGTCTTGCATGCGGCTGACCAGTTCAATCCTCAGCATCCCATATGGTTCCCCAGGTACCACCAGGAATAATTCCTGAGTGCAGAGCCAGGAGTAACCCTTGAGCATCGCTGGGTATGACCCAAATAGCAAAAGAAAAAAGGGGGGAAAAGAAGCAAGGAAAAGGAACCACTATTTCTCACTCCACTCATCAAGTCCTGGAAGGGTGTTGGTTGACCCTGGTCACATGCACCAAGTCACAGGTGCTGCAGAAAGAGAAAAGGGAATATTAACCATACAACTACATATACATACTCAAGAGTAAATATAATAGCTGGGGAAATGGTATGTGGGTTAGGATGACCGACCTGGGTTAGTCCCTGACACTGCATGATCTGTGCATCAATGTATCCTGGCGGTCCCTAGCACTGCCCAGTTGGCACTGGTGTTCATGGCACAGCAGGGCCCAAGCAGTACCATATTCTTAATCCTGTGCATTAAGTCTTTGGCTTGGTTGGAATATCATGAGAAATGGCCCTGGCTATCTGAGCGCAACTTTTGAGTTTCCCACTTCCACCAAAACAAAAAACATAAATGTGTAAATGCATCCTCTCCACATGGAGTGACATGGTTCAAACTAGAGAAATTGACAATACCCAATGTTGACATAGATGTGAAGCAACTAGTGTTCTCCCATTTTGCTGGTGTGAATACAACAAAGCAATAACTGCTTTGGAAAACATCTGCTTTTTTGAGGTGGATTTTTTTTGTTGTTGTTATTTTTTGCTGTTTATTTAATTTTTTATTTAATTTTTTGCTCTTTGGGTCACACTCGGCAATGCCCCAGGCTACTCTCCTGCTCTGCACTCAGGAATTATCCCTTGAAGTGCTTAGGGGACCATTTGGGATGCCAGAGATCGAACCTGGGTCAGTTACCTGCAAAGCAAATGCCCTACCCACTGTACTATTACTCTGGTCCCTGTTCTTTGTTTTTAAGGAGAGAAAAGTTCTTAGAGGCCACCAATATATCTGGCTCTGCTCAGGGAACTTGGTCATCTTCTAAAATGTTAGACACAAGACTTAACAATTCAACTGTTAGGTTTTTACTCGAGAAATTAAAACTTAGGTCCACACAAAAACTTGTAGGTGACTTTCATAGTTTTTTTATTCCCATTGCTCCAAGCTAGAAACCATCAGATGTATACAGGTGAGGAAAATGTAATCCAGCCACACAGTGGAATACTTATTTGTAGTAAAAAAGAAACAAATTTATGGAACCACATGGGTAGATTTTTTTAAATTTTGGAGTCACTTTCAGCGATGCTTAGGAGTTACTCCTGATTCTGTGTCTAGGAATTACTCCTCACAATGATTGAGAAACAGTTATAGGATGCCAAGGACTAAATCTTGTCAGCTGCAAGCAAGGCAAGAACCCTATCACTCCAGCTCCTGGATTTTTAAAAAAATTGGTAAAGGGGTTTACAGCAGTTTTCATATCTGTATTTGAAACTTGCAATGCTGGGACTGGAGAAATAGAATAGTAGTGAGTTGGGCACTTACCTTGCAAACAGCTCACCTGAGTTTTATCCCCAACAGCACATGTGGTTCCAAGCCTGATAAGGAGTCAGGAATAAGCCTTGAGCATACCTTTACTGAGGTGTGGTCCAAGCCTCCCCCCAATAAAAATCCACTACCACTGTCCCAAGATCCTCCCACTTCTGTAAATCCATTTTTTTTCTTTTTTGGGTCACACCAAGCAATGGACAGGGGATACTCCTGGCTTTGCACTCAGGAATTACTCCTGGTGATGCTCAGGCGACCATATGGGATGCTGGGAATCAAACCCGGGTCAGCCGGGTGCAAGGCAAACGCTCTACCTTCTGTGCTATCACTCCAGCCCCAATCCATGTCCTTTTGCCCAATCTCAGAGCTTGTTTCCATAGAGAACATCTTACTCCAACTTTGTTTCATTTATATCCCACCTGTGAAGTCAGATCATTTGGTGATTGTCTTTTCGCTTTCTGACTCACTTTATCATGATGATTTATCATGATCCCCACTCCACTCCAACAACATGAATAAATACAACCCCCATCCCTTTTCCTATTGTTTCTGGGCCACACGTATCCGTACTCAGGGTTTATTCCTTACTATGTGCTCAGGGATCACACCTGGAAGTTTTACAGGAGCATATAAACGGGATCCGTTTAAAGCAAGCACCTTAAAGCCTGTGCTATTTCTCTGGTCCAATACAGATGAATGTTTAGATAATTGTGCTGAGTGAAAGCAAGCAGAAACTTTCCAGTAAATAGAATTGATGTGTAGAGATACAGTGGTTCCCCAGAGATGAACTGCCTTGGAGCAGGAAGAGACTTTCACAGGCTGTGGAATTATACTGAATCTGGGTTGTGGCTCTGGTTTCACATGTCTGTGAAAGTTGTGAGGTTTAAAGTCCTCAGCTCATGTTTACAGTTTATTGTGCATCAATTCTATAAAGTTTATTTTAAAATTTAAAAAGTATGGGAGGTAGTTTAGTAGTAGAATCCATGATTAGTGTATCCGAAACCCTGGTGTGATTCAGGTTTGATCCCTGGCACCACAAAAAATAATATTTATTTTTAAAAATAAACACATGAATCCAAATTAAATGCCAGAGCCTGAAACTATAAGCTCAGAAAGAGTATGTTTAAAAAATTGCAAGCCAGAGATTGCTTCATGGGCTGGTGTACAGGTTTTTGCATGCAGGAGACCCTTTAGTTTTGATCCCTAGCACAATGCAGTTCCTCAAGAGTAGCCCCTGAGCATTGTTGGGTATTTCTCCTTACACCAAATTGAAAAAAAAAAAAAGAAGAAAATAAAAAAAACTCAATTACCTTGTGTCAGAAAACAAAGTAGGTGGTAAGACCTGAAATTGGATCCTAAACAATGGAAAGCAATCAGTTATCTGGTTGTGACTGAGACCAAAACCTGCTGTTCCTGCCTGAAGCCATTCTTGTGTTAGAGGTTGAGCCTGAGGCTGAACTCTCAGGTCAAGCTTTCTCAGGAATTCTGTGATAGAAGTGAAGATAGAACATGATACCCCTAGAAACCAGGTCCACCTGGACTTGATATGTTCCAAAGAGCATGAGTTTATTTTTTGTCTCCAACCCAATAGCATTTTGTTGTTGCTTTGGGAATGAAGTTTGTATAAATTGTATAAAATCCTCAAATTTCCAAAACTGTTATATCACAGAAGTTTAGAAAGAAAAAAAAAGGCACCAATAGATAGAGCCTGGGTTAAACTACTACACTTTTGGAAACAATATACTTTAGTCTGTCTTTATGAAAACTTCACTGGGTGGCAGAAGAAGTAGGTAGTACAGAGAGTCAGTAAGGTGTTTTGCGTTCAGTCGATCTGAATTCAATCCCTGGCACCTTGTATGGTCTGAGCCCCTGTAAGAGTATTCCCTGAGCACTGTTGGGTGTAGCCCCAAAACAACAAGAGTATTCGGGTTAGACTGCCTTACTTTGTCAGTTCACATGATAGCATAGAAACTGATTTAACAAAAGAGAAAAATGAAGTCACGCGAGGCCTTGAGTCCTCCCTCCTCTCTGGTAGATTCCATAGACTATGTAGCTCTTGCTCTGTATTTAGTTCCTTCCTGCTGGAGTCTGGACCTGGTCATTCTCTTTAGCAGCTAGGAAGTCTCGCCAACCATCCCCCCAGCTGCAGCCCTTTCCGTCCACCACAGGCTCATGATCTTGGGCATAGGACCATGGTATGGAGCCTTGGGAAGGTTGGGCAATGGAAGGTCAAGCAGAGTTTTTGTTTTTAGGTTAAAAACAAAATAGGCTAATCTATTTTCTCCAAGATCCTTTGCTTTCTTTACACTGCAATTGAACTGTATAATCGTATCTCTGCTTCATTTCAAGTGTACTAGAAATTTTTGTTTTATTTGGGGGTTACACATAGCAGTGCTCAAATGCTAATCCTGATTGGCTAAATACAAGTATCATCTCTCCAGCCCACCAAATGCATTAGGATTTAAATGACTTTTCACAAAGTAAAAGTGTACCATCTTCTCACCATCGTATGTGTTCTGAATTCTAGTTCACTGATGCAGAAAGGGACTTTTGAAAAAAAAAATCTTAGTTCAGGTCTGGCTTCCACACAATATTGCAGCAAATGTTCCTGTACACAAATGGTTGATCTGACTCGGTGAAGGGATTTAGTCAGTGAACTAATATTTCAAAATACTCATTCTACACATAATTAAAAAAAATAAATTTGTACTTAAGTTAGATCAGTTTACAGCATAATTTGGAGGTATACAGCTTTGCAATTCTGTGTAACACTATATTGCTGGTTTTTGTTTGGGGCAGTTTTGGGGGTTGAACGCAGCCCTGCAAAGATACAAGCTTTACCACTGAACTACATTCCCTGCCCCCATTACAAAAATAGCCTTAAATAAAAGATAACAAATGCTAGTTTGTGCTAGCTCTGAGCCTTCAAAGTTTCTTTTTAAAATCTTCTATTTATTTGTGTTTTTAAATTGAATCACAGGGAGAACAAGACTGTTCAGTCATATAATCTACTAACACTCATCCCTTTCACTAGTGTACATTTTTCACCACCAATGTCTCCAGTTTTCCTCCAGCCCACTTCCCCCTCCACACCCCCCCATGGAAGGCACTTTTATTCTTTGCAAAGTTTCTTTTGAGATAAGTAAAGGTCTCATTTTATCTCTACCCAAAAATCAGGAATATTCCCCAAATGCTTCAATAACTCTTTATAGAGCAACTGTGATGTGCCAAGGAGTCTAGCAGAGCTCACACTGCAGGATAACTGTGGCCTTGGTTACATCTCATTGGTCACAATTCTCTCTGGGACACACAATGTAGGGTACATACTTTTTCTCATTCCAAATGTCATCACCCATTTATGACAGTCCGTGGCTCCTCATGTGGCTGAATGGCCTGAACTTTGTCTTCTTTTGTCTAAATGAAAATTAGGTTTCACTGTCCAATGGTCTTTTTGTTCTTTCAGCTGCAGCGATTTTTTAGCCATATGTTGGAGGAGCACCAGAGACTCACAGCTCAGGCCAAATTACAGGCCATCAAGAATGAAAATCTGAAGTACAGAAAGCACCACGCCAGGATAGCTGCGTGGCTACGGAGACACACGTGACCTGTGGCCACAGTTAGCTCGCTTCCAGGCATAGGATGAGGTGGGGGACTCACAGTTTTGTCTGCCAATGCTTCATGAGTCTGGAAAACCACACATGTAATTCCTTGAATTTCAGTTCCCTGTGTTCCTCCGAGTCTTGTTCTTCCCCAGTTGCAGTGTTGGCCCTGAGATCCAATGAGTGCTGAGATTTCTGGGGAAGATTCAATTCATGTCAGGCTATAAGACCCACAAAATTGACTTTAAATGCCTTGTAAAAGCAAATTTACCTTCTAATATCCTGCTTATTCTAATAGAGAAGGCCAGTGGAATATTAAACTGCTGGCTAAGCAAGCACATTATTTTCTGAAGGAAATACAGATTTGCAATACTCCAGGGTCTACTTAGTTCAATATTTAAAAAGAATAATGAGCAAATAACACCACAGGATGAAGAAATGGAGAGCAGGAAAGTCATATTCACTTGGGGACAGAAAAGTCAAATTTGAAGTACAGACCGTTTAAAAAACTATGTTACATGGCCTCGAAGCAAGAGATGGATCTTCTTGTCCCATTTCTCTACGGAATCTACTGTGTACCACGCCACACTTGACTGCTGCTGAACTCAATGGGGTCAAAAAAAACACAGGGTCTTTTCTGTGGGGTCCTGAGGTGCTCAGAAGATGACTTTTGTGGAGGCCAGAGGGAGAGAAGGGCTCTTCCCTGAAGTCTTGTATCTTTACCTGTGGGACTCTTTTTTTTTTTTTTCGCTTTTTTTGGGGGGGTCACACCTGGCGCACAGGGGTTACTCCTGGCTCTGCACTCAGGAATTACCCCTGGCAGTGCTCAGGGGACCATATGGGATGCTGGGAATCAAACTCGGGTTGGCCGCGTTCAAGGCAGATGCCCTACCCGCTGTGCTATTGCTCCAGCCCCCTATGGAACTTTTTTAACCAAACTTCATGAGCAAAAAATAAAAGCATCAAAAGGCAGGGTGATTATGAGTTCATCTTCAACATAAAGGGAAATCATTAAGTAAAGAGAACTTGAACTCAGGCGAACCAGAGCACAACCGTTACAGCTTTGCACTCAGGGGATTATTATATTTGAAATGTAGTTTCATTTGGCCAAATTGAACCCACCTGTAATCCAGTACTTTAAACATTTTCCTCAGAATCAGCATATGGGATTCACTTCCTTTGGTTGCATCTAAGTCATGGCAGTTGAAGCAAATCACTGCACTCTAGATTGTGCGTAGGATGAAGCCCTGTGCTTTAATTTTGATATTGTCTTTGTTAGAATGGACATGTGGGGAACTCTAGCTATCTTATCTACCTCATAATGATATTGTAAAGATGAAGGAATATGTCAAATAAAAGCTTTACTTACATATGTCTATGTATATGTTATTGTGTATGTATATATAATCAAGGTAATGTTTCCTGTTTCTTGTATAAGTTAATGCAGCCCAAATTAAAATGCATTATAAAAGTTAGCTTTCCTAGTCACTTTACAGGAAAGATGCCCTAAGCATGAGAGGGAGGCTATGCATCCAGGCCATGTGGAGCAACCAGAGGTCTGTCCATATAGACTTAAGATTTTACATTTAGAAGTTAGTTTTTTTTAACTTTTTTTTGCGATTTTTATACATTGTATTTTCATAAAGTATATCACAGCAGTTTATTAGAGATAATATTCAAACACCCACCGAACCAGCGAGCATCTTCCCACCACAATAAGAGGGAAATATGTGAAGGTTTTTGTATTTCATTCTGGGGCCATTTAAGCTTGTTGATAAGAGAATACAAGTAAGTATGTTAAAACCAAACACATGTGTGCTAGGTACATTAGTGTGCTAGAGTATAAGAGGCCACGTTGCCATAAATGTGGCCACGTGCTCCAGAAAATACTGCGTCACTTTCTTCTGGGAGCTTTATTTTATAGTTTCTGGATCTTGGCCATTGATGAGATTACATGGCGTCGGGGGCAGTTTGTGGACGTGACTCCCAAGATACTAGAAAAACAGGGAGCTGGGTGGAAGAGGCCCACGCCCCAGTGAAGACAGCCTGGTGTCAGGGCAAGAGATTCTGCCTCACCCCTAGAAGTTAAATTTTAAACCATAAAGTTCCACATCTTCTGATCCTTGTCATGTGGGAGAGTGCTTCCTTTGTTTTCTTCACCATTCATGCATCTCCTCTGATCTCATCTTTTCATAACTGTGTGGCAGGCCCACAGGGAAGTTCCTGACCCATATTATTGGATGAAACCAGCACTGACCCCAGGGGCACTTGGGCAGGGTCTCCAGACTATGTGTGAACAATTCAGGAGTTCTTAGGGCCTAGCTTCTGTAGGAATTAAAAAGCACCAAGAGCATGTAGTCAAATTCTAATGCCTGAATATTGGGTTACTGTTCCTTCAGCTAAATAGGAAAAATATTTTTTTTCATTTTTTATAATTTTATTTATTGAATCACCATGAGAGCAGTTACAAAGCTTTTGGGTCTAAGTCTCAGTCATACAATGAAACACCCGTACCTTCACCAGTACCCATTCTCCACCACCAAAAACCCCAGTAAACCCCCATCCCACACCCTCCCCCTACCTGTGGGGCAGATGATTTCCACATTACTCTCTACTTTGAACACATTCAATATTTTGACACCAGACCCACCATTATTATTTGAGATTTTACCCCAACACTAGGATCTGCTGAAAAGGCAACAGTAGACAATTTGTGTTCTATTGCTTGTTATGAATAACATATGATGTCGCGTGGCTGCAGTAGGGCCATGTGATTTTGAAATTCCGAAATTTTAACACTTAAATCTGGAGGGATTTCTGCCAAAAGCCACTGGGTTTCAAGATTTGCTCCTGAGTCTCTGGGATCAGGCTGTTGAGCAGCTTGATCAGGAGCCAGAGGCCGTTCGTGGGCGATGACTTGGGGTCTCGTTGGGGTGGGGAGGACAGGCCCGGCTCCACCCCCATCCCGTGAGGCCCAACAAGTTTCATCACTGCAGGCCCAAGCCTGAATGTCCAGTGGCCTCTGGAAGATGACGGCCACCGAGCCGCCAGGGGGAGCAGGTGGAGGGACAGCACCCTTTCCCCCCTGGGGTGGCCCGGCAACAGTAACCTACTGTGTGGTCCGGAGGCATTTCTGCCAAAAACCGCTAGGTTTCGAGATTTGTTTCTGAGTCTCTGGGATCATGGCCATTAAGCAGCTTGATCAGGGGCCAGAGAGGCCATTCGTGGGCGATGACGTGGGGTCTTGTTGGGGTGGGGAGGACAGGCCCGGCTCCCCCCCCCCTTCCATCCCGTGAGGCCCAACAAGTTTCATCACTGCGGGCCCAAGCCTGACTGTCCAATGGCCTCTGGAGGATGATGGCCACTGAGCCACCAAGGGGGAGCAGGCAGAGTGACAACACCCTTTCCCCTGGGATGGCCCAGCGACAGTAACGTACTGTGGGGTCTGAACGCATTTCTACCAAAAGCCACTGGGTTTCGAGATTTGTTTCTGAGTCTCTGGGATCATGGCCGTTAAACAGCTTGATCAGGAGCCAGAGAGGCCATTCGTGGGCGATGACTTGGGGTCTCATCGTGGTGGGGAGGACAGGACCAGCTCCACCCCCATCCTGTGAGGCCCTGCGTGTCTCATCACCGGGGGCCCAAACTTGACTGTCCAGTGGCCTTTGAAGAATGGCGGCCACTGGGCTGCCAGGGGGAACAGGCCAAGGCACAAAACCTATTGCCACCTGGGTTGGCCCAGCACTGGTGACCTACTGTAGGGACCAGACGCATTTCTGTCAAAAGCTGTTGGGTTTCAAGATTTGTTACTGAGTCTCTGGGATCATGGCCGTTAAGCAGTTCAATCAGGAACCAGAGAGGCCATGCCTCCAAGTATATAGCTGAGCCGGAGGTGGTTTGTGGTTGTGTTTCCCACATACCTAACTTTTGGCCGTTTACTTTCTTGGTAAACTTTGCCCCAAGTTTTTGGGGTCTGGTCAAAGGCACAGCAGCAATTTTGGGGTATCTGGAAGTCTGAAGGCGCCATCAGGGTGCTGATGCACTCGCCTCATAGGTACAGATAGACCTGCTGGCGGCACCATACCCCCAGGAAAAATAATTTTGAATAATGTATATATATAAAGGCCCTCCCGTTGATCGTCGATTTGCTCGAGCGGGCCCAGTAACGTCTCCGTTGGAGACTTTGTTGTTACTGTGTTTGGCATATCGAATACGTCACGGGGAGCTTGCCAGGCTCTGCCGTGCGGGCGAGATACTCTCGGTAGCTTGCCGGGCTCTCCGAGAGGGGCGGAGGAATCGAACTCGGGTCGGCCATGTTGGCCGCTTGTAAGGCGAACGCCCTACCGTGTGTGGTTGAACTTCTTCATCAATGAATGGTTTGATGCTCTTCATGTTCCTGGAGCAAGCAGACACCATTGGGCGACACTAGCATACAATAGGGACGAATGGAGACGTTACTGGCTCCTGCTCGAGCAAATCGATGAGCAACAGGATGACAAGTGACAAGTGGCAATGTGGATGCAGTCAGTTACTCTAGATAAGCATTACATTTTTAAAATTTTTTTAAAAAATTTTTAATAGATCATCATGTGATAGTTACAGACTTACAAACTTTTGTGATTGTATTTCAGTCATACAATGATTGACTACCCATTCCTCCATCAGTGCCCATTCTCCACTATCAATGTTCCCAGTATCCCTCCCACTTCTGTGGCAGGCACATTCCCTTTTACTCTCTCTCTCTCTCTCTCTCTCTCTCTCTCTCTCTCTCTCTCTCCTTTTTGGGTGTTATGGTTTGCAATACAGGTACGAAGTGGCCATCATGTTTGATCCATAGTCTACTTTCAGCATGCATCTCCCATTGTAAACAAGTGGAGAGAGGGACAGACATAGAATGACAGTACTCATTTGTGGAATATAAAGCATAGCATTTTATTACAGGATATCTAATGATATTTTGTATCCAAAGGAAAAACTGATTGATTACTCTGGTAGTATTTAGGTGGTGGGTGATACAGAAACACATTTGTCTTACTGGTAAAAAG